TTGGAGTCATGTTCAAATTCGTAACCAATCATGAGTAAAAAATCAAAAACCAAAAACAAAGATTGTTTTTTTTTTTTTTTTTTTTTACGAAAAAAAATATGTTCGCCCGAACATGTTCGCGAGCTGTTCGCGCGAACGCGCGAACATGAAGGGGCGCGAACACGTTCGCAGTGCTACGCAGCTTCAAACTAATAAAAAAAGTCGACTCTTGCAATGGAAACCGCATGCAGAAACGAGCCTTCCTCTGTAAACAACATGCCCACCACCGCACAACAGCACGCAGTACGGGGGCACCGCCGACGATCTCGAAGCACACACGAGGCATTCGCGTGGACGTTGGACATGTGCGGCCCATCGACTTCATGATCGTTCACGGATTGCTTAAGCAATCTCCATAAGGGCGTTGCACATCAACAGGTTCGCCTGGTCGGCCTTCACGTAATGTTCCTTATACACTTCTAGCTCTCGCTTGAGAATGTCGCATTGCCTAGTCAGAATTGAGCACTGCCTCTTGCTCGCGCTGTCCACCGTCATCGCCATCAGACTCTCGTGGTCCTTCATGACGTCCGCAATTGTGCCGAAGGTCTATTGTCTCACATTCTTCCTTTTGCCGCACCCGCCCACAGCACCGCCGCTGAAACTTGAATTCTGCGTCGATCCCTGATCGTCGTCCTGCCCATCCCCGCATCCGTCACTACCGCCTGAATCGTTCCAACCTCCAGTCCGGCCTGGCAGTTGAACACCTCCCGCCGCACCCGTGTCCGAGATCCGTGGGGTGTATAGTATGATCGCCCTTGGACATGGCCATCATCTCCGAATACACACGCTCGTCCATCCGAAAATCGAACCCCCGCTCCTTTCTCTCCCGCGGCGCCAGTGTGAAGAAATCAGGCTTCCCCAATTCTCCCATGAACTTGTGCACAATTTTGAACTGCATGTACAGGTCCCATTTTTTCCCGCAGTTGTCGGCCTTTCTAGTCGTCACCCCCATCTGCACGAGCCTGCTCTCGATGTCGGCCCACTTCCATGTCTTCGTCTTCATCCTTCCCATGTTGTGGCCGAGGCCAGCAAGATGCAAATCCTGGTCTCTTTTAGCTCTGACAAGAGCAATCATGTGTTCCACGGTCCAAAAATCCCTGCTTTTCGCTCCGTTGCCTGCCGACACATCTCCCGCAGTCTTCTTGCCTCTCCGCCCCGCGCGCGGCTCGCTGGACTTGCTCGTCGCCCTGGGCCCTCCCCGTTTCTTCCCCAGCATACGAAAATCCATCTCCCTGTCGTCGTCGTCGTCGTTGTCATTGCCCCCTCGCCTGCCGAGAAATCTTCACCACCCGCACCGTCGCAATCGCCGGGTGTGTCGTCCGCCCGTACATTGATCTTCGCCACCCCTCTCGTTATGGCGGATGTGCTAGATTGACGCGATTGTCGCCGGTAATCATCCCAAACCTCTCGCCCCGCGACCTCCGCAGCGTAGTCGTCAGCGTCATCCCCTCCTCGGTGGACTGCGCCACCTGCCGTTGTTGATCCACCTGTCCTCGTCCCCTCCGTGCGAACACCTACTGTGCCCACTGCCGCCCGCCCTCGCGAAACGAGTCCACGTTCGTCGCCCGACTGACCAGAACCCCGGCCGCGGGTGTCAGGAAGGCCACACGGCCCCACCGAAGGCGCTGTGTGGTTGTTGGCAGAACCCGGGTTCACGAGAACGGTGTGCGTGACGTCCTGGCCACTCCCAGACCTCAAATCGAAGCTGAGATCTACGAGCCCTCCGTCATAACCAACCGGGGTCCGCCCCTCCAGCAGATCAGTGTACGTCGGCGTTGAGGGCTGTCTGTACAGCTGGCTCCCCATCCAATCATGCGTCGAACCGCTGCCCAGAGGAACCGTTGATGATCGGGGCTCGTCGCTGTCGTCGTCACTCGGAGGCAATGGAATCTCGTGGGACGGCAGGTGGTTGTACAGCGTCGGGTCGTACGGGCGCCTGCTGCCTTCCGCAGAGCCGCAACGCTGACGTGACGACCCGCAAGCCCCTACGGACATCGTCCTCTTCGTCTGCACCTTCTCCATCTTCCCGGTTGCCTTCATTGTTCGCCGCCTCTGTTTCCTCCCAGGGACGCGATCGAGGATGCAGATATGAAAGACGACAACAACAAGCAGCAATACAGCGGCAAGCAGCAACAGAGGCAGCCTGCGGCACAGGTCAGCCATGAAGGAGAGGGGACGCACTTGGCTGTCGCGATCGCGGCGACCGGAGACACACGTTGCACAAGGGAAGACGCCAACGTAAGAAAAAATTGCTGCAGCCACCGGCCGGGGGTGGACGCTTAAAAAAATTCGTGTTTCCGACCGTTGGGCAGCCCGCGGTAACGCTGCGACACCTCCACGACCCGCCCAAAATCGTTCAATGCCCGGCACGGCACCACCGTGGGGCCGCCCGACGAACCGACAGGGACGTACCGCCAATCCCCGACAACGGTAAAAAGATGAGGCCGTCCGTGGACGTTTTGGACGTTGGCGCCTCGAGATGTCCGTCTTCAATACGGAGGACCAACACTGGACCACCTCCGACCACCAATTTTCCTTTTCGACTCGCCGCCGACACCCCGATTATCGCGGATCCTCGAACTCCGAGGAACCTCGAAAGGTCCCTTGGACCCGAGGACGATTTGGCTGGAAAATCCTTGGAGCCCGACGATTTGTCCTCGGAGTATTTTCACATTTCAGTTTCGAAAATCGGCTCCGAGGACAGGTGGAACGAAGACGAAATCCTTGGAATCACGTCCCCGAGGTGTGTCGAACGACGCCCTTACTCTCCCCGTTTTTGGGGAGTTCACCGAGCATCTCTTGCGTGCCTTCCCCTTTAGTACTGTCGTTTCGTCAAAATGGACATTTTTTATTTTTTGAACGAAATTGAAACTGAGCTTTTTCAACTTTTTTGGCCGAAAACTCGTCTAAATTTGCTGCTCTTGAGAATCCGGCATTTTTAAAACGCTGGACCCCCTGTAAGTATCTGGACCTAGCTTGAGACCCGATACATCTAGGCGGTCCCCCCTGGATGTATCTGGTCTCAAGCTTAGTCTTGATACATCTAGGGGGTCTGGCGTTTTAAAAACGCTGGACCCTTACGAGCAGCAAAATTTAGACGAGTTTTCGACAAAAAAAGTTGAAAAAACTCAGTTTCAATTTCGTTCAAAAAATAAAAAATGTCAATTTTGACGAAATGGTAGTATAGGTATATTTGTCCTTTTTTATTCTTGAACCCGATACCTTGTCTATATCTCACCCGAGCCGCTTCCATCCAACGTCTTTGGCCCCTGGATCCCATCCTCTTCGCGGCCCGGTCCGGCCCAAACCCTCCTTTTCTAAACTCAATTTGTCATTTTCCGTGTAATAGGTATTTTGTCCTGCTTTTCCGAAATCCAGCCTACAACGCCTAAAAACCAATCGAGATCCTCTCCCCAACACCGCTCACCTCCGTCACATTCCTCCACACTGAACCGTCAACCCGACCTAAAAACATGCTAGATACATCCCATTACATCTCTCTCCCTTGAGTACTGGTACCATCCCCACCTATCCCCCCACTGCTTCTCACATCTTACCACACTTCCCAACACTAGCATCCCATCACGATAGTGACGATACTACTTGTCCCTTACTACACCCCACTATCCAGCCTCACACCTCATCCTAGAGTACTCACCATATTTCGACTCACCCCGTATTGTCCTTTTCCCGCTCCGTCTCACCCCTCTACACCCAATACCTCCAGTAGCGGCTGTCAATAAAACATCCTCCCCCACTATGAACCGCGTTGCTCTCCCTACACCATTGAAACCTCACTCGATATATTTACCATTCTCTCTCGCTCCTTCCCACATTGTCGTCCTCACCCGTGTCTATCCCACTGAAACTCACCACTAAAAGTACTACATTTTCCCGCCCCATGATTACTACTTTCGCCCAAGACCTCGCTCCCCTAACTCGTTCAAACACCGTCCCACCTAATTAGTACGCCCTTCTCATCCTGACCAAGTCAACCCGCCTGTTTTTTCACGGATACTTTCCCCTCTACCCAATCTTCCCTACGGTAACCTTCTCAATCTTTTGACTCCCCGACTTCCATCCACTCAAAACATATATCATAATATTAACCTCTTTTACTGTTAGCCTTCCCAATACAACAATAACCTTGTCACCCTCGTTACCCCTCCTCCCGACCTTGATTACCTCATTCCCTCGCCCCTTACTTATGACATCGCGTCTGTTCCTTCCCCCCGATCCTATAGCTCCTTATTCCAAGGTCCCACTCCTATCCCCTCAGGCATCGAGATCCGTTTTTTCCTCAAGACACCAGTCTACCTTATCATCTTCCTCGCGATTGTCCCGCCACGCTCATACTGACTACCACTCTTCACGGCTCTTTCCACTTATCCTGTGAAATGGAAGTCGAACCTCCCCCATCTACGGTTGGAGTTGCATCCAGTGCAAACCTCAACACTGAGGAAATCCAAAAACTCCAGGGCATGATGAAGGGACGGTACATGGATAGTATCCCCAGTACGTTTCCGCTTACGTAGAAACAAAAGTTAATGAAGAGGACGACTGGATTGAGGTCCTGACGTCTCCCACGGGGCGACTTTTCTTGGGTTTCTTATCAGCTCCTCCGGGCTCTCCCACTTCGTGGCCCACCCCACATAAAATTTCTAGAAAGTTTAAAACGACTTTCTCAAAAGAATGGTTGTAGCTTTCGTATTCCACGGCGAGACCAAAAGTTGGTCCAATTGTTAAAAAAAAAAAGGTCCCATGATTAAAAAATGGATTTGATTCATTTTTTGGAAGACTCTGTATTAACAGAAGAAGAACTCCGAACCCAAAAAGGGATTGCACACATGGAGGGTCGGGGCCAGATAACCTACGTGGCAAAAAAAAAAAGAAAGTGGTGGAATAATTGCTACAAACCAAAAAGGAAATAAAATTCAAGGAAGGAAACAAATGACATTTTGTTTATATTCGTCCTTGGCTCCCGAGGTCTAAATGGAAAAGAAAATAAAAGAGGACAAAAAGAACAACTACTGGTGATGGCTGTGTGTTTTCCCATTGCCGCCTCCGTGTTTAACAAGACGAGATGAGAAGCGGTCATGGGTAAGGTGATAAAGGAATTCGGTGATCTGTAAGATCCCAAGCTAGGGAACCTGAAATATCAGTTGCACCCTAACGCAAAGGAAAGATTCAAATCACGTCTCAAAATGTGGACCGGGTTAGACTATCTGTTGGCTGATCTGGTCAATTCGAACACTCCCTAGTGCTTACAGTGCAACAGTCAGGGGCACAAACCGGACGATTGTCCGTGATGTGACAAGTGTTTGAGATACGGTCATACGATTGAGGAGTGCAGATCGGAGGATGGGAATAGATGGAGAAGAAATAACATGAATTCATACTCACCTCGTGCGAATCTCCAACAGTACTCCCCGACAATTGTCTCTCCAAGGGAGAAGAAGAGCTCTTGGGACAATTTTACCTTCAAAGATCATGATCTGCAGCAACTATCCAGTAAGAAGAAAGAGGTACGGCGGAACCAAAACACCTCCATCCCAAGACCACGCCCAGGCCCCCAACCGATACATCTCGGTAGCAGTGGCCCGAGTCAGAACACTGCCCAAGGTACATAGCCACCCTTTCTGAGAAAGTTGGAGTGGTGCCCCATTGGCTCTTCCAACCAGGGATTCACAATATCAAAAACTTGGTGGGCTTTGGAGGTGCATGCTTTGCGTTAGTTTTCTCTCTTCCTGCGGCCAACTCTGCTATCACAACAAATAAGGGGGACAGAAACCAAGGTCCGGACTCAGGTAAGAGACAAACGTCCTCAGCAGAATCGGTACCTGCGAACTTACACGACTTAATGGTCATTGGCATGAAGGAGGGAATAATAGAGGCTACCACTCGACCCTTCCAATCCCCGATCTTCTTGGGCCTGGTCACACCAACAACCCAACAAGAGAGGCCATATGTAATTGCCCCTCTGAACTTCAAACAATCCAATCAGAGCACCTTGCTGCTCCAACAAAAAAATGACAACAAAAATGAATTGTTCCTCTCTTCAGTCACCTCCTCCACCTTCCCACATCCCAACAATTTTCTGTGTTCGACGAGGAGGTCACTAGACAAGTGTTACTTTGTGAAACCAGTCTCCTCCACGCCCTGCTCATTAGTGTATAGAAAAGGACACATGGGCAAAATGCACCCCATCCTCAGCATGTGTCTAGAGACAACTCAGACCCCAGGAACAGACATAGCAATAGTAGATAAAGGTCTATTATGGTCACCTATAGCTTGGATCAACCGAAACAACATGAAGGAACAATTTTATCCTGCACTAGGCAATGGTATTAAAGACGACATAATTGCAGACCTGGACGGACACATCCCAAAAAAACACTTCATCTTTTCCAGATACATTATGAAATCGACGAAGCTCCCTGGTGATGTACTGAGTTTGATGGCCAATCCAAGATCACTCCCTGCGTCGATCCAACACAGGCAGCAGTTGAACGTTGCAAATGGCCAATAGGCTATCCGTAGCCTCATGGAACTTTCCTGGACTTATTGACGAAAATGGGAAACACAAACGTGCTCACCTCAAATCGTGGATCCACTCCCATTGGATAACTATCACAATTTTGCAGAATATCAAACTCTCATAAGAAATAATAGCATTTATGCTGGCTTGTTGGAATGCTCCACAGATCTGCCAAGGGTGCTACGGGTATCTTGATCCATAAGAACCTCGTAACAGGAATTCAAAGTCGACCCAATGGGACACTAGTGCTGGACCATTCTAGACATAGATAACAAAACTTTGTGTTTTATGTCTATATACGTACCCAGTGACCACAACCTCAAGTCATACCGTCTACCAACTTTCAGATACTAGGAGGGGACTATAATACAGTCTCAAACCTGAACCTGGATTCCATAACACCACTTTCCCACCCCAACGAATTAGCAGCTCTCAATGACTCTATGTCAGATAGTGGACTTTTCAACCCTTACTGTTCTCTTCATCTGGGCTCACATGTCTATACATGGGTCTCCTCCAATCCAGCAAACAGCGAAATATTCACATGCAGAAGATTAGACATAATTTTAACCAACGACAATACACTGCAACTAACCAACAAAGCAAAGACTGCCACCGATCCCATGTCAGACCACATGCCGGTGTGGCTGTAGATAAATCAGAGAACTCATGCCTTCAAGGGCAATGGACTCTTCCGATTAAGCATATACGTCCTCGAGGACCCGAGAGTAGTGGAATGGGTATGAAGAACATGGGAGGAATGGAGAGTTAATAAATG